CCAGATTTGGATTTAGAATGGTTGCATTTTAGTGCATTTAATTTTGTAGATTTTTGTAAATTCAATGCTGCCACAGCTTTAAATATTTCAAATAATTTCATGTTTTAACTATTTACTGACAAATTTGAGTTCAGAAAAAGACACTAAAACAGGCATTAGGCACTAAACCGTTTTTGTTGGCGTTTTAATTTTCAAAAAGCACTAAATCTAGTGCTTAAAGCACCAAGTTGGCAACTATGAGCAGAGAGTTCGAGCAGTTATTGGATCCCACCATGACGTGAATGATAACAATAACAGAGGGCGAGAAGCAGGCAACTGCGAAACTCAACGGCCGCCGTAGGACGACATATGTGTATACATACATACATACCTACATGCATACATATGTTTGTATTTCGTTGCAGTTTTGTTGTTGTGAAAGGACAATAAGAAACAAGTTGATGCCCTTCATATTGTGTTTAGGTACTATGGTACCTACATAAGGTGCATGTGTATGTATATGGGTACATATGTATATAGAACTTGTATTTATGTACACATAACTAAACGTATCTACAAAGTAGAGGTCCCCATATATTTATGACTACTCCTTCATCGGCTTTTAGTTACCAAGAGTTGCCCCTAGTCATACGTATGTATGTATATCGTCGTTTAAAGTACAAAACCGCGTATCGTCGTTCTGCAATACCGCGTAACTGACATTTTTTGCCAAAAATTGCATTTGCTCACAAAAGCTCTTGGCTCTATCCTTATCCATTCGTCCTGAAATATACTAGCCAGAAATGCGATTGTTTTATAAAAAAGGGAATCATATACATACAATCCTATTTCATCGAATATTGCATTTGAAATTAAATATGGATGGTAAGAAATATACGGCCATTGAATTCTTATCAATCAATGGAAAAACTAAAAACTGCAGTTATGTTTTGATCTCAAACAGTTCTGTATGAAGGGCGCTTTTAAGAAAGTTAGACAAGGAACGTTGAAAAGTAAATATGTATGCAATTGCATTTTAAGTAATTTTTTATATGTATGCAAACCAAAAAAAGAAAACAAGCAATTAAAAAAAAAATTAAAACAAGTTTTATTTTATAAGTGGTTAAAAAAAACAAAACAAAACAAAAAGTAACCCCCATATTTTTTGTGGATTTATTTTCTCTCCATTTAATTTCTATACGTTCTAAATTTAAAACAAATTGGATCATAAATACGGATTTTCCAAATAGCTCGACTCTTGCGCCACCTATCGGGCA